TTTGAATAAATAAGAACTGTTTCTTTCGTTATAAAGCAACTATTGATTGTTAAAACAGACTTACCAACAAACGGCATTTCTTTCAAACAGCAAAAGCTTTCTTCTCTTAGCACGCTTATTTCCGTGTGTCCAAGGTTAAGCCTATCTAGTAGAGTTCAGTAACATAAGAACAGGCTTTTGTACAGTCAAATGTAAAGTTAGTTCTTAATTTTTTTAAATCCTTAAACGAAGGATGCAAATACATAGAAATGTAATTGCTACGTTGTGCCAAAACTTAGAATCACAGTATTTATATGGTGAAATAAAGAGGTAGGTTTATTTACAAGTCATTTGTGTAGAGGTATCAGTAACGTTTTTGGTTGTGTCTAATAAATTGCTTCTTGCACATGAACAAATGATTATGAAGACTACTGTCACTAACAGTAGCATTTAAACTTGTAAGTAATAGCATTGTTAGAAGTAACGTGCTATAGACATGAATTTTCTTCCGTCTGTAGTGGTACAGCCTGAAGGTGTTGTGACTTACGCTGAACCATGTTAGCAAAAAATTGCTGTTTGCATTGTGACCTTTTTCACAGGTTCATTTCCCCTGACATGGACTGGGATGCTCATTTGAGCAGCTCAGCTGGCAAACTTGAGGTGGTTTTTATTCTGTTAGGAGACCTGTGATGAGCAAGTAAGGGTTGTAGTCTTTATAGATCTGAGTTTCAGTTAGAAGATAACAAGTATCCACAACTTCAGTGGAAACGTGTTTGCTCCTTGCATTTTTAGTGTAGTGTAAGTACTATTTGGAGTTTGCATTGTCAGCATGGTATTGACAAACACCTGCAGCCAGTTTGGTAGCCCTGGTGCAACATGACTAGTTTTTAACAGAATTTTCTAATGGTAAGGAACTAGAGGAGATATGTAGGTAATGTCCACAGTGTTGACAGGGTACATGACAGCGTGTACGTGATCTCATAGAGAAGAAATCGCATTGCTTCCCTTATTCTCAAACTCCCCTGATTGAAGGGCTTGTGAGCCCCTGAGCAGAGCATTTTTTCAAATAATTCTCACTAGACTCTTACATTATCCATAAGCATATGATTTTTTTATTATACCTCTTAGTGTAAGCGTTGCACCATGGTGGTGTTATACCACCTCCATACTCTTTTCTGCTCTTCCAAAAAGGAACTGATGATTTTCTTTTACCTAAGTTCCAGCTGTAGTCAGGTAATGGAACAAGAGACTGAAGAGTCAGCAGAACTTGAAAGCAGTTAGTTAGGAAGCAGCTGGTATGGAAGACCACAGTCTGTAACTTTCATTGTGATCTCATAGGTTCTGTATGCTTTTCTCTCTGTTTTGTTTTGTTATCCTTTTACAGTTCTGTTTTAAGCTAGCTGTGGAGGACAGCGGGTGACACCTTTTGTGTGCATCATCAGACTTGCAGCCTCATAGAGGGCCAGATTTCATTATGTATGTTGAAGGGAATGATCATACACAAGCTGGATGCGAAGAAGACATGGACCTTCAGAGTTCTGATGACAAATAAAAAGAACTGTTCTGGTTTTAAGTTCCAAGCAAAATTACAAAGCTCACAAATTGGAGCATAATCCCCCCTTTATTTTTATTAATGAGAAATTAAATCATTAATACATAAGGCATTTGTTTGGTAGCTTCATAAGGAATGAGGACAAGAATTAAATTACATGGTAAATGAATCGAGCATATATTTTGTTTTTTGTGTAGGCTGTTTGAATGGAAAGCTTGAAATTGTGGTTTACAGTTTTGGACACATGTTAATGTCTGTGTGGTTTTACTTGGGAAGTGGAGTGGATTCAGAGTTGTAGTATGGTGTGTCTGATTGAGTTTAAATGTAAACTTAATTTGGATTTTGGTTGAAAAGAAGTTAAATTTGAGCAGTAATTAACTACTGTTACCTTTTTTTTCAGTCAAAACAGTAGTGTCAAAACAGCCAGAAGATGATACCCGTTTTCTAGCTTTTCTGCTCTTTTTGTAACTTGTTCCTAGGCAAATTGTGCTATTGTTTTCCTCTTAACTGTAATGCATAAAGTATTATTTAAACTGTTAAATGCTAAAATATTGACATGTGAAGTGGAGGTTTTTTATTATTTTTCACAGGTGAAAGGAAAAAGGGCACAATCTTATTATGAAGTTTCAGGTCTGCCTCCAGTGGAAGAAGAGCATGCTAGTGATCCAGCGAAAGCTAAGCTAGCATCCAAAGTTAATAAGGCAAAGATAAGATATGCTAATACATACAGGCTGGAGCCATACAACAGAGTTCGGGACTACTTAGTAAGGAACAAAGCTCAAGCGATACTAATGGTATAGTATTTATTAAAATTGTCTTGATTTTTTTTGCAGAAGTAGTGTGTTATGCAAAGATTATATTAATGGAACAGGGTAAGTTGCATAAACTTAGATGTATGTGTAAATACGCAGACTTTGGGTTTTGGCACACAAATGTAGTGTGAATGCACTCTGTTTCATGAAGTGCAGGTGGCCCTCTGCAAGATCACCACTGAACAAGCTCGTGCTATTAAGATGGAGCTAAAGCTTCTTAAACTCTTAGCCATTTGTAAATCAAATTGAGCTACAGCAAAGTTCAGAGTACCTTAATCTGCAAAATATCCAGGTATCAAAAGATCCTGACCTTGAATTTGTGGGATTCTACTCCTTCAATTAGTTATACTACTATCACAGGACCACAGAACACACTTGGTGTCCTTGACAGTCTGACTGCCATGTACAAAAATTAAGCAACAATGAGGGAGAACAGTCTGTTACAGCACCATAGAATGGTTTGAGTTGGAAGGGACCTTAAAGATCACCCAGTCCCAACCCCTTTGCCATGGGCAGGGACACTTTCCACTAGACCAGGTTGCCCCGTCCAACCTTGCCCTTGAACGCATCTAGTGATGGGGCATCCACAGCTACTCCGGAAAACCTCTTCCCATGTCTCACCACCCTCACTGTAAAAAATTTCTTCCTTATATCCAATCTCAGTCTACCCTCTTTCAGTCTAAAACCGTAATTCCTTGTCCAGTCACTGCACGTCCAGGTAAAAAAAGTCTTCTCCATCTTCCTTATAAGGCCCATTTATGTATTGAAAGGATACATGAAGAGCAGTGTGAGTGAGGTCTGTGAACAATTTTGTTTCAAGCAGGAGGTTGGCCTGGGGACCTCCAGGAGCCCTTCCACCCTAAGTTCTTCTAGGAGTCTACAAAAATTGCTGTGTAATTCTATTTAGCTTCAGTCTTCTGCCTTTTTATGAGTAAAAGATAAAAAAAGAAATGTGGTCAAAACAAGGGTGCTTCTCCCTGCCAAAGCTCCATGTTGTCCTTGGTTGTTCACCACACTGGTGGCAGAGGACACCATAGTATCTTGAGATATGTAGCCATTAGTGATACCTTGAATAGATAAACCTAACTCTCGTAATTCTGCTGTCTGGAAGACATGCCTTGGATATTTGGAAACAGGTATTTGTAGCACTATTTTCCAATGAACTGACTGCAAATGATGGAGAATACACTCCTGTTTGTTAAATAGAAACTGGCTGGCTGTGTTTGTCACTTTCAAAACATAGATAAAACATTTAACAGTAAAAATAGTGCAGCCTTTGCTGTTTGAGAGCACTGTCCATATTGATTGTTGTATTCATTAGTTCTTCTAATGTTCTTGCAACAGAAATGACTGTAAAAGTTCTTTAGCAAAAGACTACCAGGATGAAATACTAAGATTTTTCATAATTGTTTTTGATAGAGTAAACTTCAACAAGACGAATATGATGGAGCTTCTAGTCTCTCCTTGTGTGCTTCGATCTCAGAAGAAATATTAAAGGCTGTGAAAGAATTGAACTTTGATCGCTATAAGTATGTGGTATCAGTACTAATTGTGGAAAAGGCAAATCAGGCAATGAACGTGAGCAAACATATTACTTATAAAATCTCTTGCAAATTAAAAATAATTTTTAGAATTGTTGTTACCTCGTAGGCATTCGTACACATTCAGCAGCTTTACTAGTTTGAGGTGGTCTTGGAGCCTTTGGGTTCTTTATGGGGAGCAGTAGGCCAGGGGACAGTTTAAGGTGCTGCTGCAATTCTGCCTAACCCTGTAGAGGTTGTAATCTGAGGTTAGCAACAGTGATAAGCAGCCCGTGCTGCTTTTCCCTGTCAGGCAGTTATTTCCACTGTGTGCTGTGCCAGTGCAATTGCATGACTGCAGTGAATTTCTTTTTCCAGTGTGGTCTGACGTCCACTTGGGTTGTCACATTCAGCACAAAATGCTGTGTGGTTGTAGCTTGGGGTGATACGGAAAGGAAGGGGTGACAAAGACAGGGATGGGAACTGTTTCAACTATAGCTACCACCAGACGTGCTCCTGGAACTACAAATTAATGTTAGTGATCTGAACTTGGCACACCCAAAAGAAAAGTATTCTAGATATTCCTATGTTTGTATAGAAATATACATGCATTGCAAGCTCCTTCTGGCATTCAGAACACCTTTAGATACGTTGCTGAGTTTCAGAGCACTTCTGTTTAGGAGTGTTCAACATTAGCTCTTCAACCTGATGAAACCTGATGAGACTATACGTGGTTTTAGTGGGTTATGTGAAACAGTGTCCGAAGGGTTGTCAGCTTCAGTACCAAAGCCGGTCTTGGAGGGGCCTGCTTTTTTAACAAGCCAACAGCATTAGGACAAGTGGACCTACCCATTTTTCTGGTACTGTCTCATGGCACACTGCCCTGACGTGTCCTTCGACTGAGGAGCTGTAGGGTAGAGCAGGTTACTGAAATGGTCCAAGTTACCTTTTTTTTTTTTTCTCTCATCCTGAGGAATGTGTTTATTCCAGCAGCCAATTCACACCTTTTAGCTTAGAAAACAGTTTTCCCCAAAAAGCTGAGAGCCCAGTGAAGGTGGACTGGAGTAAGCTGGAGAAGGAGGAGTGGGAGAAGTGACTTCTTTGTTACATCTGTTCCCCAAACTCACATCTATTTATGTTGCTTTTGTAGGGGTGCTGTTATGGTATGCTAAAGTGCTAACAAGAGAACATGAGAGAATTGAAGTTTTGGTGTAGAGATTTTTGGATCTGTTGGGGTAGAAGCGAGAATTTGTATGTCAACACTGAATAGGACTTGTTCATATTCATTGTAATTTTGCAGTTTTTGTTACTACTTGTAAGTCTCGTAATGCAATTGTATCAGCATTTATATAATGCTGTGTGTTCTATAAAGACATATAAAATATGTGCTGTATAGAGATTCACAAATAGCTTTTTCTTTTCTTTCCCTTAGGTTGCCAGCAGATGGGTCTGGGATGTTCAGAGAGACACTTGGGTTTCAGCTGAGTATGAAACTAAAACATTTTTTGCGCTGGCTTTGGTAGTGGCTTGTTATTACGAGTAATACTCTGAAAGCCACAGCTGGGTTTGGCATATTTAAAAGTTTCCAGATTGTCATTATTTTAAGACTAATTTTTGCCCTAATGCTTTTGGTTTGTTGAAATTGACACACAGTTGAGATAATTCTGCTCATATTTCTCTGTTTAAAGAAAAACAACAAATGCAAGAAAAGGACAGTTTTGAAATGTGTATGGTTGAGTATTATGAGCTTCATCTGCTGGAATGCTCTGTTGTGGAACTTGAAGCAGCTTGGTGGGAGGCCAGACTTTGCCAGATTTTGAATGTTGCTTGTCTGTTGCATGCCTAGGGTTGATAACGAGTATTTACAATAAATAGCAGGTATTGGTATTCTTAAAAGC